GAGAGCGGTCCATGAGGCGTCTATCCTTATATTATGTCTATGGAATCAACTAACTCATTCTCTGGTTACCTAGCAACCTGCAGTTTTAAATTCTTTCCAACTTCAGTTACCTAGCAACAACCTAACTGGTGCAGTAGAAGTTTAAGGGGGCGTTTACACGATAACATCTAACAAAACGTTATCGTTTTGTTCCGTTTTTGTTGGATCGTTTACACGAAAAAGTTCTAATTACGATCTGTGTTTACACAGTAACGGTACACATCGAAAACGTGAGTTAAAGACCGGGCTGCGCCTAGTTGGTGCTAGGTTCTTTGAAACTGAGTGTGCGTGTGTTTTAAAAAAAGTTCAATTTGAAGGCATGTGGATTCACGTTTCCCTATCAGGTACCGTTCTCCCATAGATTGGGAGAAAACACGCACTGTGTGCGTCTGATTGGGCGCATGCAATTGGAAAAAATGGGATAACTTTGCTGAAACACGTTGTTTGAGCTTTCATGGTGTCCGTAGCGGCCCCGGACTGGAAGCTGTTTGTTTTTACCTTGGAATGGCCAACAGTCTGTTTTTCCTATATCAATTTGATAAAATAGGAGCTCCCGCACTTCCCATATCCGTGTCCCGTCACCTTTTTCAGCAGTTTAATCCGTTGTTAACAAGTCGTAACTTGTTTTTCCGAGCCGCCTTCAAACGCAACATGAACGCTGAGACGCTCGCACTGGGTTTACACCTGTGAGGCAGCGAAGTAGACCTGCTGCTGCTGCGCAGGTGTGTGTTAGAATCATGGCAGCAAACCAGCAAAACGTAAATAACTTTGCACAGTTTTTTCCCCAAACTAACTGACTGAGTTGAGTAAAGCTGTTGGATGCAGGTAATGATAGCTAAAAGATGACTAGCTAGCTAATACCAGTACAGCACGTTAAGCTTGTTAACAAGTAGTCTGTAGGCTACTGATGTTGTTGTCTATGTTCAGCTACGTAGACTCATTTTGCCCCCCCAAAATAAGTCGATGCCCCCCTGTTAAACTAGTCTGGAGCCGGGGCTGGTCCGTAGTTCTCTAGATAACACTAGAGCCGTCTATTTTGCCACCTGGGCTGTGCGGAGCTGCGAAGAGACGCTGAGGGAACCGTATCTGATGGGGAAACAGTAACACCAGCATTGTGAGTAGTTTCTTCTTCTGTGGATTGTAGGGTGCAGCAGCTATGTTTTGCGTCATACTGAAGAACAGATCCATTTTCTCCGTTTACACGACAACGGAAAATGGTACGTTTCAGAAACATCGCACTCTGGAACCCGTTCTGGGCCGTTTTCAGAGAAAACGTTCGGTGGTTTCGTGTAAATGCGCACTACAAACGCAACAAAACTCTTCCGTTTTCCCCCGAAATCGTTGTGTAAACGGGGCCTAAGGTTTCTCATAACTGTTTAAAAATAAAAACCAATGGCCTGGAATAGAAACTGGGGATAAAACAGGAAAGGTTATGCCACCGCATTGACAGTATTTCAGATATTTAAAACAAAAACCTGATTAATAATTATCTATATCGACAATTACTGACATCGACTTCATGATAAGTTTTTTCAGTCATGTAGTCCAGTTCTAATAAGCACAATAAAAAGTCAATGCTGGTAGCTTTCAGGGGATGTTTTCCCTGAGAGACCCAGAGAAGACATGAAACCAGGAAGCCTGAAATGGACACTATGGACTCGTGGATCAGTCGAAGTAGATTTTATGAAATCAGACTGTGTAAGTTTGGCGCCAGCTGCAGAGGCGGATGAAAGGAGCAGCAGCTCGGCTGAGCAGCTCGCTGTAGGCCTGCCGAAACTGTCTGTTCATGAGCGCATACAGAATAGGGTTAATGAAGCTGTTGATCCAGGTGAGGTTGCCAAAGAACATGTGCAACACCTGCGGGGCGCGGTTTCCTTTGTCCACTATGTTTAGTAGCAAATATGGGGCAAAGGAGCACAAAAAGCAGAGAAACACAGCAAAACACATGCGGGTCACACGGTTGAATTCGTTATCACCTGGAGTCGGAGACTGTGAAGCAGGAGCAGCGCTTTGGGTCTCTAGCTTGTCGTCTGATGACTTTAAGGGTGGAGCTGAGCTCTGAGGTGGGAGGATAGCCTTTTCGATATCATGTGTGCTTTGGTCTGGTTCTGCTTGGCTGCTAATCTCTGAGCTACATGTCTTCCCCACACCACTTTCCACTCCGCTATCGTCCGTCCCTTGAGCTGAAGAAGCAGATTTCTTCCTAGAAGAGCTTATACTCAGCCTGTAGCGGAGCAGAGCTTTTGATGCAACCCTGACTTTTCTGTAGATGAGCATGTAGAAGACTCCAATACATCCTAGACCGATGAAGAAATAGAAGAAAAGTATGATGGTGGAGTAGGGGCGGCCTTTGGTACGATGGAAGCTGCAGGTGCACACCTGAGGCACAAACATGTAAACAGACCAGAGCGGGGCAAAGCTGGCCAGACCCAGACCCCAAGCTGAGACCACAAGTAAAGTAAGTCCAAGGTTGGAAAACACGCGGTTGAAAACGGCTCTTTTAGCAACCAGGAGGTATCGGCTCACCGCCACCAGGCAGAGGGTGATTATGGAGACGGAGTTGGTGAGGAAGATAAGTAACGCATAGATCTGGCACCAGACCCGACTGGTACGCCATCTGAGGTGCAGGTAGGCGTATACACCCATGGGTTGCAGGATGGTGCAGTAGAGAAGGTCAGTCACCGCCAGGTTAACAATGAGCACGTTGAAGCGAGTCTGGAGACGGGAGTCCAGGGCGAAGGCCAGGATGGTCATCAGGTTCCCCACAGTTCCAGTGATGATCACAAAACAGCCCCACACCACTGCAAAGTACTGGTACTCCACCACCGAGGAGCTGTAGCAGGAGAGGTTACTGTCCTCCATTTGGTTTGTGTAGTTCATCTTTATGCTGTGGAAATAATAGAGAAATTGGTTTCCTTTAGCTGATTTCATAGCAGGTAACCAGTTTGAACAAATTTTCAAAAATCTCACTCTCTAAAATTGCTTATTTGGTGGAACCGAACCCCAAAAGACCTACAGCTGCCATCACAACAACAGCTGGCTCTACAAAGGATTCACTCAGGGAAGCTGAATACTAAATAATGCAACATTTTGTTTAGATTTATATCTGTAAAATCGTTGAAAACCATGCAGCATTTGCCTTCCCCTTTAAAACTATTCACTGTTTTCACTTAGGACCTGAATAAAACTCAACATTTGAGGTTATTACTCAGCAAAATGTGAATACATTGTCCATCCATTTTCTATACACCCTTGTCCTTAGAGGGGTCAGGAGGTGCCGATCTCCAGCTAACATTCCGGGCGAGAGGCGGGGTCACCCTGGACAGATTGCCAGTCTGTCGCAGGGCAACACAGACACAGACAGGACAAACACACAGAGGGACAATTTGGAGAGGCCAATGAGTCTGACAGTCATGTTTTTGGACTGTGGGAGGAAGCCGGAGTACCCAGAGAGAACCCACACATGCACAGGGAGAACATGCAAACTCCACGCAGAAAAATCCTGGGCTGAGAATCGAACCCAGAGCCGAGTGAGGAGTGATGATTATGCAAGGGAAAAAGAGACACAATCAGAGACTTTAAAATAATCAGAACAGCAAGAATAAAAATTATAATACCAAGGACAAGATCTCAGGACAAGATCTCAAAACTACGGTAAAATAAAATCTGAGGTACATGTTGTTTTTTGTTTTCAATGATGGAGTTTCAAATAACTGTTATAATTAAACCCAAAATACTTTACTTTACACGTCAAAGAGCACAAATTTATGTCAGACCAAACAGATGAAATCTGACTGCACACATTTCAGGTTTAGACTGGTTATTATAAACTACAAGACCTTCCTGTTTCTGTCACTGTGTGGTTAACACAGACCTTCCTGTAAAGACACTGGCCAAAAATAAAAATAGACAACAAAGCAAATGTAGAGCCAAGCTGAAGTTCATAGTTACACAATGGCTGCAAACTAGAGAACGTTTTATAAAGTTCAACGCTAAACACAGTTAAACGTATAAACACCTTGTGTGACTGGAGCTGCTGGACATAAAATAAAATGAAACCAGTTTCATCCAGTCTTACAGGAAACCTGTGTGCCTTGTTCACATCAGTGGTTTTATAAAGTCATAGTTATGATTCATTATGACGATCAAATCAAACTGTATTCTGTTCTGATGCTCGCCACCTTGTGGTGGTTTAACTGTACAACCACAAAACCCCTACCAGCTTACTGTTCTGCTAAGACTTTTTGAAAATTATTTGTCATTAAATGCGTTTGTCCATAATATGAAGAGATTTATTAAAACCTTACCTTCTGTGCTTTCAGTGTTACGTTAGTTCCCTGATTTTTTTTATTTTTATTTGAATTATCTCCTGACAGTTCTGCACAAAAGTTTTTGCTCCATCCCAGAGGTCTGTATTTTTTTAAATTTTATTTATTTTTGTTCTTTGCATCTTTAACTTATATTCTGTACATCATAATAGATATTTAATTACTTACATATTTTCCAACTGATTATCTGATAGTTGCAAATACTACTGGGTGCTGAAATACTGTCAGAAACAATAACACAATTTTTCATTATTTCATTTTTTCTCTATCGTCTGTAGAGCCAACAGTTTTGTAGAGTATGCTGATTAAAAATGAAGTTCTTTTTAAATTACAGACACTTAAAAACACATACTTTCAGCAACATATTTCTTTATTTACTTATTTGTTTTAGCCTGAATTTTACTCAACCAAATATAAACGGATCAAGCAGCAGTATTACATAAAGCTTTTGGTGAATGTCCAAAATTAAAATAAAGTTCACCTACTCTTTTCTTTCTGTTCTGCAAACCTGATTCCAGGTTGAACGGAAAACTAAAGTGAACAACTCAACAACATTTATTTTTCTTTTATTTGAACAATACAACAAACTACTAAAGATCTAACATATTCAGCTGTCAAAAGATAAAACACCCTTATTCAAACTTAGAAACTTATATATATCTATATATATATAGATATATATAAGAAATTAAATATTACATCAAATAATATTAAGAAGAGTCAAAGATCTATTAAATTAAAACCTTCTCAACCACCAGATGGAGGCAAAGACCTCTACAACAGCTTTAATAGCAAGTTGTGTTTTAACTGCGGTATTACATCCAGGAGTTTACAGGTTCCCCAGAAAAAGAGTTCGCCCTCCATTTGTTTGATTAATCAGCATTAAAGCAAAGTCCAGAATAAATTTACTGTCTTTAGCACATGCTCAGCTTTTCAGAAGTCAAAATGTTTAAGTTACTGTTGTCCATTTCTCTAAATCCATATTTTGCAGAGACAATACAAATTATAAATTATAAAAAAAATTTCCTCATCTACAAGGAATCAGTCGGGAGATTTCACAAAATGCATCTGGACAAAAATGATGTGGAGCTACATATTATTAGGACACTTATTTACTTAAAAAACTTCTGCAAACTTTGTTTTTTCAACAAGTACACTTTTACCATTTTCTGCTCATTCAGGATATTACAGCCATGTTTTGTGTTGAAATCTTTTATAGTGTATAAAATATTCAGCTTTTTGTGATCATCTTGGGTATCTCTGAAATTAATCAAATATCCTATCATTGTTGAGAAATGCTATTGAAAGCTTTGCTCTCTTCCACATACTTTCAGCTAGAAACACCATTCAACTTTTTAATTGCAGTCAAATCCTTCAACTACTTTGGCTCATGTCAGATTTTTCATGTTTTTTTTTTCTTTTTTTCATTTTTTACAGATTTAAAAAAAAATCCCTCTGGAAATTTTTGCTCACATTATGCTCAGTCTGCGCAAAAAACCCAATCAAACCCTCCGTCCAACCCTACTTCCAAACCTTATGCCATCCATTCTTCAAACCATAACTCCGACATCCCTCCTTTCTGAACAATTTACGCATTAAATTATCCAGATCAACCCTAAATCTAAACCTAAATCCAACCCTGATTCTCTAACCCTTCTTTCCCAGTGCAGGACGCTGCAGAGAATAATCGTAACATGAAGAAGCTGCAGAAATTTCCCAGTGCTGGTTGAGAGTCGTCTTTCTCCAGCTTCCAGTCTGGTTATCGGTCTATCTCCTCTTTCTGTCCTCCAAACTCACTCGTCTCCTGCTGAACATGTTCCCACCTGTTTGTGATTTTCACTGCTACTACTTTGGCAACAACTCCTCCTATTTTAATTTACCTCCGACTTTTTTTTTTTTTTTTTGCTTTATTGGCTGATTCTTTTTAACCTTGTGGCTTTCAGAGTCAACTGAGACAAGTTTTGAACTTTTGTTGTTATTGCAGTCTTTGTTTTATTTGTTTAGCTTCTAGTTCCCATTAAAACCATCCTGATGGGGCCTCTGGTAATGTTGCAAAAAAAAAAAAGGCCGAATCAAGAAAATGTTGCCAACATAGCAGAAATATTAAAGATAAACAAGACAAGAGGTATTTTTAATATTGTCACCTTAATCCAGTGATGTGAGGGAGTAAATGTCTTCTGTCTTGGGTTGCACAAACATTTATTTAATTGTTCAGTTGACGGATGACATGCAGTGTTAACCAATCCTGCTCCTCTAAGCTGCTCTGCATATTTGTACTCTGCACACTCCTTTATTTCGTTACACAACAAATATTGTCTTACAGCAAAATAAATATATATTTTTTAATATGTTACAATGCAGGACTTTTATGTAGCATTGACAATACACACACAAACTCACTATTCTACCTACATACAATGGTTTGCAAGATTATTTATACTTCTTGATGCGTTTGCATTTTGTGACTTTGTTGCCCAGCAAAGTTTTGACTGATGATCAGCAGGCGGAGAAGAGAGCGTCCTTCTTCTGTTTGGTTGAGTGATTCATTTATCCCAGGTACCACTGGAGCTGCTTCCTGAGTCAGCTGCACAGTTAGGACTGACAACAATCCATTGGCACATGTTGTAACTCGCCATAAATCATAAAAAGGAAAAAAATATATAATAAATCGAAATGCATATTGAAAATGTATGACACAAGTTATTTTTTATTGTTTCTAATGTTCTTTACTGACAGCTTGGACAAACAGTGCGGCGGGTCTGACTGCCTTACAGTGTCAGATTTGCTCTTCTTTAAAATCAGCAGATGAACAAATTTAGTTTTATTCTTTAAAACTATTTCATCCTCTGATAATGCGACTTCTTTCAATCGTATATGCAGTTTCCATTACATATTTTTTAACTTCTTATCTATTTTACTTTTTCAAATGTTTTGTCGACTCCACTAACCTACATAAACCTATTTAACGCCTTGCTGCCCCTCAACAATTATTAATAGGAAAGTGAACAAAAAACAGAATAACTCAATTCATCAATTCAGCCCAGAAATATTTCATAGTTAGTGATGTCACAAACGCTAAAATGTAAAACCTTAGATGTGAATCTTTTTTTCCCCCAATAACCATAATTACGTGTTTGCAACTATGAAAACTGCATTTTGGCTGCAGTAACAAATTGTTGACATTTTTCCTCTTTTCCAGTCTAAATTTTTTTTTTCCCAAATGTGACATTGTTATCACATTAATTATTATTAATAGCCTGCCTCTGATTGGCCGGCCGGTTCTTCCTGATGTCTCCTCCCCCAGAAACGCTTTGAGCCAATTAAATTAGACTGTGACTCAGAGAAGAAGACAATAAATTAAAACATGAATAAAATAGATATATTAACTTTTCAAAGCTGACACTCCTTTATTTTTATTATTTGAGTAATTTATGTCTTATTTAATCTCTTTTCTTCTCTCAGGAGTTTGAATAATTTAACTCACAACTTACAGGAATTAAATATTAATTTATTTAAGACCTTTTGAAACATCTTTTTTGTGAAAGCACTAAAATGCTTTCACAGAAAGCATTTTAGTGCTTTCTGTGAATAAAGTACAGAAAGCACTAAAATTAATTTAGATTGGTCTGTTTCTTTATATGTAATACTTTATATGCGTTACATTAAGCACTTGCATGAAAATGTTTAGAAATGAAATATAAATCAGAAATCAACACTTCTTTCAACCATAAACTCAGTTTAATGATTTCATAGTTTAAATCTAACAATAAGGAAGCCCCAACATGAACAGTTTATCGTTTTTTTTGTTTGTTTTCTTTTAAATAATCTACATTTACAGTAAAGTTTCAATACACTTCTCCTAAGGAACATTTATTACATTTCTCTACATCTTTTTTATTGCAGTTGACAAGAAAAAAGTAACAGAAGTGCTTACGGTATTGCTACATTTCCCGTTTCCTAAGCTTTTCTTCCAATGATTCCCAATTCCTTACTGAGAGCTTCTGATAGCTGCTTTTGGTGATCAGACAGAAAAAAATACTGCTACCCAAGTCCAATACGATCCAAAAACGTGACCTTTTTTTTTGGTTTCTTTAGTTGTCTTTGCATACGTCTACTCAGCAGTGGTTGTGGTCCTGGACGTGTCCCATGATGCTGGTGTCTTTCCTCCCACTGGCTCCTCTGTCCTCCACTGCCGCTTCTGGTGAAAGGTGGCTCTGTTTTCGTGTGCCCACATTAGAAAGCCCCGCGGTTGAAGTCATGAATGAGTCGTCGTCCTGCTGCGCTCACAGTGTGAAACTTATTTCGAGAAGACGCTGAAAGCTTCTGTGCGGAGTGGATGAGGAAACGACAGCAGAAATACGCTCCTGTGTGCTCAGCAAGATTTCTGACAGAATGGTTGGAGGAAGAGTTCATTGGTAGTACAACGTCTTCACTGAGTAAAAAACAAAATAAAACAAAAAATGAAAATGATTTTCTTCTAGCAATTTCTCCAGCCTTACTGCATTTTACACGTAACACAAAAACAAATACTGACATCTGCATAGTGCAACAGCAGTTTCTTCTTTACAAATTCCTATGTATATCACTTCAGCTTTAAGATGCAATATAAAGTCCTATCATTTGCTATTTCCCCTTTTCTTCTTTTTTGTGTCCCACAGAGGTCAGCCATCGACAGGTGACCAGACAGAAACCACAGAGAGTCATCTGCTAATTGCAACAAGAGCAGAACGTTACAGTGGTATAATCCAATCTACGATGACAGCTATGGCGTGAGTCCAGCTAACTCCAGAAGACGCATCTACTACATCTAGTTCTGTGTTTGTATCATATAATTGCTGTAAAACTGTAATGCAGAGAGATGAACATAATAAACAAAAGAGAGGTAGGGTTTGAAGTCTGCCACATGGGATGTTAGTGCCTCAAAAATATTAATACCTCTTGAACTTCTTTGAACATTTTGTGTTTTTTTTTCTTGGGATTATAAGTGACAGACCAACACAAAGTGGTTATTATTCAGATGATTCAAGTTTTGAATAAAATGTGTTGGTGTCACTTGTGGGACACCAACACATTTTATCTAAATTCTGCCCTAGAATTGCTTGTTTTGAATTAACAAAATAATTCAATGGAAAAACCACAAAAGTTTGATGTTGTCATGCTTAAATGATTAATATCGGTATTTGTACCAGCGATACCGGTCCTGTATTTACCTGGTATCAGATTGATACCAAAATACAGCAAGATAACTACCAGTAGTGATGGTATAAAGTCCAGAACTAAATCCGACCGACTCAGGTTTAGTTTCAGATTTAGTTTCTGCAGTGAGACGCGTGCAGCTGCTCCAGTCTGACTCAGATTGGGCTCTAAAAGAATGAGCAATAATGTGTTTCTTGATTTACAAAGTCTATAGAAAGACGGCGACAGAATGCCGTTCTAGAAATTTTCACTTTGAGGGGCTGGAAACAAATGAACACTCCTGTTTTCAGATTTCTTCTTTTGTGTTATCTTGTGAACGTTGTGTTGGTCCGTCACATAACATCCCAGTGAAATGGTTCAGAAACTTCAAGAAGAATGAAAACATTTTTGGACACTTGAGTTGAAGACATCTAGCTGCAGACGCGAAGACGTCCTCTTCAAACGATCAGCTCGTAGATTTTGATCACCAGCCGACACTCGGGTGATGACGGATAGAAACATCTCAACACAATGAGGAGTAGTATTTTATCTTCTATAAATAAAACAAAATGTGCAGCCAGTCCAGCCAGTTTGGCTCTCGATGGCACATGGTTGCCTCCAGTTCACAGTGTGCTTCTTCCTGATTCTCCTCCATTCCGTCGCCGTTAGTACGGAGTGAAGAGGATGGGCCCGTGTGTGGTGCGGATGGGGCCCGGGGCCGGCCTCAGCAGGCTGAGGGGCGTTCCCTGTAGCAGGTGTGGGTGAGGGTGGGGGGCCGGCCCAGGAGGCCGGAGGGCCAGTTGGTTTGACGATGCTGCTGCCGCCATTGCTGCGGCGACAGCCAGAGGACTGGGTAAAAGTCCAGGCCCCAGAGTTTTTGGAAGTTCCTGTGAGAAAGTTCAGAAAAAAGGAGGATGTTAGCTGCGTTTGAAAATAAACCCTGGAACATCATAAGGCAACATAAATGTTTACCATAAAGTCTGTGCGCTTCTTGTGCCGACTGAGAAGAGGATTAGGTTTACCCGCAACTCCGTCCCGATGCCTTCTGCTCGATATATGCTGCAACACCAACGACCAAAAGACACATTTTCACGAAGCCGTCTCTCATCATGAGCTCTTCGTTTTGAGTGTTTTTACCTGTTTGAGCTGCAGCTCAGAGTTGACTCTGACGTTGCATATCTCACAGTGGAAGGTGCGTTCCTGAGTGTTTGGGTCGGAGGAGAGCTCCCCTCCCTGCTCAGGGCTGGGTTTGGGACCCAGGCGAGGGTACGCTTTGATGGGCCCCAGTCCACTTCGAGCCTCCAGGATAGTTTTGTGTTTGGTTCCTGGGAACAGCAGAAGAAGAGATCATTTGGTTGAAAGGTCATACGAAGCACTGCTTACAGCAACACAATTTAATTTTAGAGTGATCTAACAATCTCAGGGACATGATCATTTCTTAAAACATCTTTGCAATTTTCTGCTAAATTCTTACAATAATTTTATCTTTAATTTCACTAAGATAGCTAGAAATTTCCAGGGTATATTTTGTACATTTATTCAGTGAGGGGAAAAACACAAACATGTCTGGAGCTACAACTGTTTTTACCCCAATAATATCTATAAAATGAATCTGAGGACATTGATTTTTTACTTTTTGACTGTTTGGTTTGTGACTCTTTTTCTTTTGACTTTGTAATACTAGAGAAAAATTGTTTCACTTTTCTGTTGTGAAACAATCTGTGTACTTGAATAAGTACACAGATTGTTTCTTTAGAGAAATTAAACTAGAGAAGCTAAATTTACATTAATAGTAAAAGTTGCAAACAGACACTGGATTTTGTGCTCCACACCACTTGTCCTTGCTCTCCATTTATAATGAACATTACAGTTTTGACTCCTGCAATAATTTCTTAAACTCATGAGATTAAAAAGCCCTTGAAGTGGTACAACGTTAAATTGTTTCTATTATAGCTGAGGAAACCTCGAGGGTTTCAGCTGAAATGAATGAAACTGCAGAGGACGGAGGAGTCGGGTTTTAGATGTGAGATTGTTTGTCTGAATACACCAAGCGAGTGAGTTTAGTTTTAAAGTTTAATGTTTAATAAAGCAGAATATTGTTGAAAAATTAACTTTATTCCCAAAAGAAAATTCAATAGGTGAAACACTTTATATAGATAAACACATAAACAGAAGTTTTCAAGCCTTTCTTTCTGTTAATTGTGATGATTTTCTGCTTGCAGCTACGGTGGCCGACGTGCAGCACAAAGTGAAACCCAATGCGAACAGGTGTAAATGCAAAGCAGAAGGCAAAATGAGCTGCAAACACATGAATGGTGCAAAAACAAATGCAGCAGGAAAACGCTGCAAACAAAAAACGATGCAATCACAAACAAAATGCTGCAACACATGGAATAAGAGGAGCAGAAACGCAGCAATTAGTAAAATCAACAGTAAGTATGAAATCCTGCAAACTCCACAAAACTGAAGAACTCCAGACCTGAAGCAGCATTTTCCATTTGTGTTTGTTTTCATTGTAGGTTTTTGCTTCTGTTTCCTCTGCTTGTGTGCTGCGTTTTTCTGTTGCTTTGTGGTTTTGTGTTTTGCATCATCCACATGTTTGCAGCACATTCTGCTGTTTGCTGTGCGTTTGTAGATGTTGCACACATTGCCAATGAAAATATGACATTACATCAGACTAATGGGAATATATTTTTGAAGCTGCAGTTTGTAACTTCAGTAAAAAATGTTTTTCATATATATATATATTTTTAAATGATCATAATGTCGTGACAATAATTTGTGAAAAAACTGAGCTCCTTCTCCCAGACCTCCCATTACTGACTACAGAAATACTCAGTCAGAAACAACAAATTACAGCCAAGAGGAGGGTCTTAGTGCTGTCAATCACTCTTGTGCTCACCCCGCCCCCCTTGGTCTTTGCATAGCCACAGCTGATTCACTACAACATAGCCGAGCAGGAATAACAGCGGATAAATGGTTTCCTGGAATGGTAAACTGTTTCTCCGCCATTAGCACATTTAGCAGCGAGTACATAAGGATGACTGACGGCACTGAGACTGTCTTCATGCCTGTGATTGGCTGGTTTTGACCGGGAACTGTGCATTTCTTCAGATAGTAGCTCTGTGAGGAGGAGGATGAGTAGGAACTTGATGTTTTTCACCGATTGTCTCATAATATCACGATGCGGCGACAGTTTTAAAAACCTTTGTAAAATTTCACACACTGCAACTTTAATACATAAATGTAGGATTGATCAAAAGTATGTTTAATATGTGATTAATGTTTTTTTCCCCTCCAAAAGGCAGGTTTTGCTTGAACTGAGCCTCATCAGGACACATCTTATTTATTGAGTGTGTGTTATGGGATTTTTATTCATTTCAGAATTTCACATCAAGAGGCACAGAAACACTTTTATCAGTTTTCCATGTTCTTCTAAGAGCTCTGAACTTGCATTTTGAAGAGGTTAAGTTCCCACAGTTGTCTCTGTGATCTAGTCAAGCTTCTGCAGATTGGACCAACCTTTGTTATGCGCCTCCAGCTGTGAAAGGGAATTAACAGCCACTTTGCAGAGAGAGCAGTAGAGCAGCTTTTTGGCTTTTTCTTCCTCTGACTCTCCTGAAGTCGGGCTCGGTGCCGGGGAGGGGGTGTCAGGTAGAGCAGCCGCCGCCGGGTCCCCGGAGGAGCCGCTGAGGGCTGCCGAGGAGGAGGGAGAGGACGGCAGAGGTGCGCCGACAGACAACTCTGCATCTGCCGAGTTCATCTGAGTTGTCGGGAGGTGGCTAGGGGTCAAAGGTGAGTCTTTCAGGCTGGGGCAGGACTGAGGATCATCTGTAAGCAGCAGAAATATTTCTGGTCAATGAATTATTTATCGCAAACCAAGCATGAGTCATACGGCGATGATCCAGACGTGATATAAAAGTCTAAAAAAAAAACATCTCATGCAATGCCTCTAGCAGCAGTGCTGCGCTTGCAGTTTCCCTGAGGTCAAACAGACTCCAGTGAGACTCCAGCTGGATGTGCAAACAGCAGGTCTGACCAACCCACTGTGACAGGACATGTTTACATGACGGAGCTTGGCGCGGGTCGTTTCTGGGACTCATTGTGTAACCAAACATTTCTATGGCAGGTGTGCAGGTAAAAATAACACAAATAACATAAATTATTTGTAAAGCAAACAGCTGCTGAGCTGACTTTTTAAAATAAGTGACATAAATATTCACTTTGTTCAACAGATTATTTGGATTTTTGACCAATTTTTTCCATCAGCTTCCATGATTTACGTGACAGTCTCACCCTGCTTGTTGGGGTTTGGGTCAGACGTCGGGCTGGACGGCGTGAGGCCGGGTGGGGAGGGCGAGGATGGAGGCCGAGGTTGATGTTTGTCGCCGTCTTGGAGACGCGATGTCTTCGACGTCTCGATGCCCTTCACCCTTCGAGCGTGGCGGTTCCCTTTATAGTGCGCCTCTGCTTGACTCTGGGCAAATATATATACATGGCATTATTGCATTGTTATTTTCTAGCTTCTTTTTTTGACATCAATATTCACCAGACACACAGATTTAACTGGATTACGCCTCAGTCAGAAGGTATGGTTGTAAAAACCACCAAGACTTTCCGTCATACTACTATGATACACTTAAATTCTGTTTTAATGACACTGCTGCACTCTTCTGGTCAGCTGGCTGAAAGAAGGTTGCAACTCTCTTGTCTCTTTTGATGTAGATTAGTGAGGGATTATTGGCAATTTATTTACATTTTTTTAGAAGAATGATAAAATTATCAAATAAAACTGATAAAAACACAAAGGTTGAAGACACTTTTGCCATGAGCACTAACAGTCTAAACGGCAATAAAAAAATATAAAAAGAGCAAATAAAAATTTGTAATGGCAAGGTTAGAAGTAATGATCGAACTTTAAGAGCCAATAAAAATCTTAACACTCCACCTGGAACCCAGGCTGAATAGACACATCTGGCTTCAGTTTTGAAAACATCTGGTCCACAGACAGCCTGATTAATTAACCGGCTGTTGCACTCAATAAAGTTCAGAATGACAAAAAGACAATATTCTGCTGAAAACATGCATTTACAGGACAACTAACACTAATTTTGGTGTTTATTTTATAATGCTGATTAAGACTATCCATACTTATTTACAGTATTGTTAGTCAATATGATTAGTTTCTTTAGAAATATGAATAATAAATAATAATAAGAAATGTTTACAGTATTTTATATTTCTCCGCCTGTGACTGTTTTCCACATATTTTGCAAAAATGAAACATTGCATTTTTTACTCTTAAAAAAAGCAGCTGTGTGGATTAAACACACCACGAGTATCAATTTTATGAAATTCAAAATAACTCAAATTTATTTAACAGTAGAAATAATCAGTTCTATTCAACATATATTTGCTTTAAAGGCGGGAGAATTACAATTAAAGTTGTTAATGAACAGCTGGATTGTTGTGTTTCTGTGTGTGAGACTCAAACAAATGGCTCAAAAACAGGGAGAAATATGTGGTCTTCATAAAATACAAGTAAAATTTAAAACCTTTAGTTTAGAAAAAGGTCTTAGTCAGGAAGGAACAAGGAGAGGAAACACCGGAAACAATCTGATCCAAAACAACAGTTCAGTTTCAGTCAGGATGAAACAGAACAAAACTCAGAAACAGAGAACTGTGGAAAACGAGAAATCAAAACAAACAAAACAAAATAATCTCTGCATGGCTGTAGAGATAATGCAACATGTCTGCAACAAACAGATTGGCTGAAAAGCTGGAGGCAGAAACAAAAGGAAAATCAAGACATGAGAAATAAAACTGCAACATTGTGCAGATGTGAAGATTTGATGCAAACATTTGATTTTAAAACAGATTAAAACGTGGAAATCTAATCGTCTTCTGCTCATCAAAGTGTTTCTGTTCCCCAACTACGGATGCGCCAATCAACACCAGTTCTTCTAGATCAGTGGTTCGTAACCTTTTTTGAGGTACCGAACCCCCAAGTTTCATATGCGCCTTCACCGAACTGAAGTAATTAAACACACAAGTTCGAATCCATGCTGAGAGTGGAGCTCCTTCAATCAGTGCTCCTCCGTATCTCTGATTGGCTCAGCAATGTAACGTGATCCTTTGCAGCAAGTGATGGCGAAGCGGGGCGTCAAAACGACTTTACACAGTGTGTCTTTACCTCCGCGGCAGAGGCTCCGCCGAACCCCTGAGACCGACTCACCGAACCCCTGGGGCTCGACTGAACCCAGGTTAAGAACCACTGATCTAGATACTCTTACCAAAAAGAGTAAAGGAAGGAATAAAAAGACTATTCTGTTTTATGGTTCACAGTCTTTGTCCGTAACCTTTATCAAATTTTTTTATCAAACTCAGCAAAGTGCATCAAAGTGCCTGCTGTGGGTTGATGCTTTCATACACTGAAAATGGTGGGAGTTTGATTCATTTAAACAACAGGGGGAAGAAAATCAGATTTTTCATTGTGACCTCCCGTGAACCCTGTTTTTGTCCACTGCAGGCGCCGAGTTGTTCCTCGGTTTGAGCGTCCCTCTGGTGACACTGCAGCCGAAGCTGGCATGATGTGCTGATGAGGCTGTCAGTGAGGATTAGCTTCTGCATTTTTATGTCCTCCTTTGCCACCAAACCACAGTGGTGAGCTGATGATGATTATTGAGTGCCGAGATTATCTAAAATGGGTTCTGCCAGCAGCAGTCGGCATCCGACTGTCAATGCAAAAGATGCAAAAAATGTTCAAGCTAAAGAGTAAAAA